CCCCTTGCCCTGTGTAGCCCAAGGTCTATATAAGTACTTGTATAGACCTTGGTGTAGCCTTCCCCGGGCACCGGACTGACGAGAGCGCCGTCCGTGCCCTTTTGCGCATGCTTGTCCCGTAGTCTGTTCTTTTTATGGATTTTTGGATCTTTTTTGGTTTTTGTTTTATTCCTTGCTGACATATATATCAATAACTTTTTGCGTAGTATACTGACATAGTTGCAATTTTGATAAATGCAGATTTGGTCATTAGTCCCCTATGAGTATTTTTATTAGTTCATTTTCTTCATTTCCATATTTTCCTTCCCTTTTTAAAGCAGACAAATGAACCTTTTTCATATGCTCCCTCTCCCCAGGTATGCTCTGAGTCCAGCCGTCAAGAGGCGCCGCCAGTCCATGCCGAACGTGGGCATGCAGATCACGCCGGCCCAGCTCTCTCACCTCCAGCATATCAAACAAAAGCACAGCGGGAAGCGCAACTCGTGTGTCATTTCTTAGAGAAAAACGGTGCTGCTGATCGGTCTTGCTCTCTCTCCCTCTCCTCTGTCCCTTCCGTTTTGTGCTGTAGCGGAGATTCCATTCATTGTCTGTAAGAATGTAAACCAATAGAGTTCAGACTTCCTCGCGTCTGCGGGCTGGGCGAGCTCTGGCGCCGGAAGCTCAGCTGCGCAGCGGTCGTGCGGGCGACTCGAATGCAGCGTCGAGAGGAAACGCGGCGAGCAGCGGGGGAATCGCGCTGACAAGCAGACGCAGGCTCGCCGGTGTTCGGAAGCAGCACAAAAGGGAAAGAAAAAGGAAAGAACAAGAAAGAAAAAGGATTAAGTCGCTTGGAAATTTTAGAACTAGTGTTTGGATTATGTTATGAATATACAAAAGATTTAAAAAAAAAAAAAACTGTTTGATGGACGTCGTGTGGAACGGAAAACAGATTGTCCAAGTATGTTTTGCTTTATCTGAAAAAAAAACTTTGAATCATGATAAACGCATTAAAAAAATGAAATGATCAGATGTTGCAAACCGAAGAAAAGGGTAAAATATACATGTAATAAAAATAACGTTCTTCTTCTATGTTCACTGAGCTTTACCCCTCTTTCCTCCAGCTCTTGGTAGTTCACCTCGATAGTGATTTAAGAAGCTTTTTCGGATTTTGCTCGCGTTTCCCCGCCGCGGTCGGGTGCTTTCCCCAATACATGTAATCTGTGCCAAACGACCACGCGGAAATTTGCATCTCACTGTGACAGTTTCTCTCCCGCTTGCACGGACCCGCATCCGGGTTCCTGAACACCGCCTCACGCGGCCGAGCCTTCCTCCTCCTCGGCGATGGCCTTGTTCGGAGCGGGCTGGAGGGACAGGCCGGCGCCGCCTCCCTCAGGGCCGGGGGATCTACCACACACACACACACGCACACACACACGCGCACACACACACACACACACACACACACAACACACACACACACACACACACACACACACACACACACATATATATATATATATATATTATATATATATATATATATATATATATATGTATATTAACGTATATGTATGTATATAGATATAAATGTATTTGTGTGTGTAGGTGTACATATACATACGTACGCACACGCACACTCATATACGCTCACACTTACACAAAGTAATGAATATACATACATACGTAAAATACACTTGCGTATGTGTGTAAGCATGTGTGTGTGTGTGTGTGTGTATGCATGTATGTACGTATGTATGCATATACATACATTCAGCATATGAAGAAGAAAAAAAGTATGTATATACATATATAGACACATTTATAAAATCCACAACATTAAAATTGAAGAAAGCTGCGCCCCACTTGGCCCTTGGCATCCCGAGAACAAACACCAATCCGGCTTACCCTTAACCGGCCTTCCTTCCCAACCGGAACCCACAGGACACGAAGAGGTGAATGGCGTCCTGTTACATGATAAAAACCGACCTGGTTGCTCTGTGCCGGAGACCTCGCCAGCGCGGTCTCGGACCAGAGGACCTACTTATAAGACGGTATTTTTAGGACTCTCTCGCACTCCGCTCGCCGCGACAGCAGGAGTCGACGCACCTGACCTCCTCCTTGGCTGCGGCTCTCCTCGGCCTCTCGTTTCGCCTCCCTTCGGTTGACACTCACGCGGAAGCTGTTCTTGTCTTCTTCACGTGTCTTTAAAGGCAACTGGAATAATCTTGGGTTGAATTATGTTTATTGATACTGATAAAAAAAAAATGATGTTTGGTAGAAAAGCGATGATAAGTATGAAGTAGGGACAGATAATGTCAAATTGAAGAAAAAGGAAGGTGTTTAAGTGTAACAACTTTTCTTTCGACGATAAACTACACCAATGATGATTCATATTATAGCAAGTGGTGCTAAAAATTGTCCAGAGAAAGAAGAATGATAAAAAGATGATAGAAAAAAAACATGATCTATAATACCATACTTAACATATCTCGTGTAGGCTAAGTGAACCAGCAAAAGAATC